GGAGAGGCGAGTCTAAAATAATAACAGCTGTCTAGTGAGTCATGATCATCAATCAAGCTATCTAATCGTTCATCTGAATTCAGTAAGATGGCTGCTGAAAGCCCATCTCTTGCTGCTGCTGCTGTTGCTGTGCCGCAAACGGATTCGAGTTGTAGTTCGGCTCGGCATCTGAGGCCGCAGTGTACTGGGCGTAATTGGCGCCACCATCGGCGCCATATCCGCCGTCCATTCCACCAGGGCCGCCGACACCGAATTCGCCCTGGTCAAAGCCGCTGCTAAACTGCGTCATGTCGGCGCCCTCGAGCCAGCGTTGGTAGGCGAACCAGGAGCAGCCGCCCTAAAAAAGAGAGTAACAGTTAACAAAAGTTCTAAAATAAGTCCTCAATTGAATCCTTCTCACCCAGGTGCCAATGGAGAAGAGCGAGAAGACAATGGCCGCCCGGCAGCTGTTGATGCCCTTGCCCATGGGCGGGTACTCTGACTTGCCCCAGGCGATGGACAGGTAGGCGAAGGTGAAGAAAAAGAGGGCCGCCCAGACGCCTATGGAGAGAGCAAACAAGTTAATCATCAAAACTGTAAAATGCTCAATTCAGCAGCGCTCTTACCACTGAACCCCACGTCGCCCATGACCACCCTTCGGCGGATCTTGATGCTGGAGAGGTTCTGAAAGAGCGCCTCCACGACGAGGAAGGCAATGGCGCCCAGCAGGCCGAAGAAGGCCACCGTCGAGCCGAAGCGACAGGCGGCGCCGTCGCCGTTGAAGAGACACACCTCCTTGCTCTTGCTGCCCTTTCCTCCAGTCACCGCCTTCTGCCAGCCGTTCATGGAGATGCTCGCCCAGACGATCAGCGAACAAAGCTGATATTGAAAAAATATTGTTTAGCTTGAATTAGTTTACATTTTTTCAAAACAGTTTTAATGCTTACCAGACAGCCAATTCGCAGCATCACCGTCGGCTTGCTGACAAAGGTGACCGGGTCAAAGGCGGCGCCTGGGTGTGTGTGTTAGATGAGAAGTAAGAAGGAAAAGTTTATGAGTTGAAAAATGTTAAGAATCGTTTACACTTCACTTACCCGTCTTGCCGGCGCCAAACGCCACATTGTTCATGTTGTTCATGTTGCTGATGTCTTCTCTCTCTCGCTGTCTTGACTTTTGACTGTTGCCAGAAAGAAAACACTGACCACTGTTCACACTGCTGCAACCGCCAACAACAACTCCCAACACCAATAATCACACGATAGTTCTGCAGCTCAGCTTTCGAGATCGTGAAAGTTGATCACCAATGTGTGTGTGTGTGTGTGTGCAAACTGAGTGCAAAGTGTGTGAGGCCTGCTGAGGACACACTCGGTCTCTCACTCGGTCACGGAGTCGGAGAGGGAGAGCGGGAGCAACGAAAGTATCCAGAGTGCAAATACGGTTGCTATATACTCGATCTCAGTGGCCACCAGCAGCACTTTCCCAAAGCATTACCATATTGCCAGCACTGAATACGGCATTGCGCAGTGGCCACCCAGCCAAAGCACTTTCAGTCTCTGACCAATGATCAGAATTCGTGATTGGAACACACACAGCAGCAGTTTCCAAGCAGACTCTAGCACTACGAGGGGCACACACGTCAATTTTGCTTTGTCATCAAGTCGTTTTTATTCACGTTGCACAGCTGCAGTGCACTTCTTTCGAAAATCAGTGGTCAGCCGGAAAAGGAAAAGGAGTGGGAGAAAGTTGTCGACTATACAGTTTGGGTGTGTGTGTAGTCGAGTACTGTTGGTTGAGGTGTGTGCTGTTGTTGCCGTTGTTGCGGTGGTGGTTGCTAGCCAATTAGTAAAAATGACATGATATCACAGTATAAACTTGTGTGTGTGTGTGTAAAGAGGACAGCAAAGGAGGTAAGAAAAGGAGGAAAATGGTACAATCTGCCTAACTACAACTCTATTTTACTGAGCTCAGCTAACTCTCCAAAAGTCGAGGGAAAAGGACGCAAAGATGAAGATGTCTTTATACAAAATGCACAAGAGTGTTTTAATTGTGTGGGTAAAAACAGAAGAGGAAGCGCAGAAGTATCAGCAGGGGATCTTGCTCAACACAGGTTTTATTTTTGCTAGTAATACGTCCTTCTCTTAAAAGGGGGCGTGTGCTGCTGCTGTCTCCTGTGTGTTTGGATGGGTTTTATCTTAAAGTAGAAAGAGATGAAAGTAGCGAGGAAGGAGAAAGTGTACATAAATATAAAACACAGTAGAAAGGTGGGGAGAGGATATAGAGAGATGCTGAAGTAGAAAGGAGTGTATGGTATTAATATTACTGTTGTGATTAGAAGTAATGAATCGGTATTGCTTGCCCCCTGGTGTCTTTAGCAAAGCAGATAGATTGAGTTCTTCGCCTAGTTAACTACTATTGTGTGTGAAAGATTTGATGGCGATAAGGTAGGTTTTCAAGAGGAGGAACACACACACACCTACCTTCTGATGAAGGGTATCAGTTGCTGAGTAGTTGTATCAATGGTGCGGCGGTATTGTGGTTTGAGTTGGTAAAAAATGACTGATGTAGGTGCTGGGAATTCATTGGAAACTTGCTTACCACTCTCTTAAAACTTCTCCAAATCTTCCAACTTGACGGCGTTCATCAGCGGATTACCACGACCTCCTTCACCTCCTTCGGCGCCAGCAGCACCAGCGCCGCCACTGGCCCCACCCTTGGAGCTCATGGCAAAGAGGATATCACTAATCTTGGTATTCGACTGCTGATGTGGCTGTGACTGACGAGAGGCGTGGTTCATGCTGAGCTGCTGCAACAGCTGGGCCATGTCATTGGTGCCCTTATCTGAAAGGGGAAAAAAGGAATTTAGAACAAAAAGAACAAAGAACAAACACCACACAGACCATTAGCAGATGAGTTCGAAACGGAGGAGGGCTGAATGTTCGACAGCGGATGTGGGATGGTGTTCGAAGCTGAAGCTGAAGAAGCGGCGGCGGCCGAAGAGGCAATGTGCTGCTGATGCGATTTGTTTCCACCAGCCTCCATAATGTCGAGAAAGGTCTGCCGACCGCCCGACTTGACATTGCCATCCCCGGTAGTCTGAGCACCTGTTTTGGGCATCTGAGGAGACTTGCTGGGACCTCCAGCGGACGAGGATGATGAGGTGGTAGTGGTGGCGGCAGAGGAGGCAGAGGCCGAAGCCGACTTTGAGTCCTTCAATTTGCGAAATACTGCAGTGGGCGTAAACTTCGAGTTCTTTAGCAGCTTCTCGGCCAGCGTCACAGAGTCCGAGTCTGTGCCCTGTTCCGAGGAGTGATGGTTCGGGTGCTGGTGGTGACCGTGATGCGGCGGCTGTGCGTGCTGTGACTGCTGCTGGTGAAGATGCTGCTGCTGCTGGGCCATCATCATGTGCGCCAGCATCTGTGCGGCCATCGGGTGTGGCTGATGAGGACCATGTGGTGGCGGTGGCTGTAGTGGCCCATGAGGAGGCGGCGGAGGATGAGGACCATGCGGTGGCGGCGGTGGTCCACCCATCATCATCGGCGGTGGACCAAAGGGCGACGGTCCGGCAAGTCCCGGGTGATGCATGCCCGGGTGGTGAAGTCCGGGGTGGTGCATCGGATGGGGGTGAGGAAAGGGACCGGCGCCGGGCGGCGGCGGGGGAATGCCCGCAANCGGTCCGGCCAGTCCCGGGTGATGCATGCCCGGGTGGTGAAGTCCGGGGTGGTGCATCGGATGGGGGTGGGGAAAGGGACCAGCGCCGGGCGGCGGCGGAGGAATGCCCGCAGCGGCGGCCATCTGCATCGCCACTTCAGGCGGAATCGGCTGACCGGGATGAAAGAAGGGATGACGGAGGATGGCAGGGTGGTGCATGCCTGGGGCGCCACCTTCAGGCGGGGGATGCATGGGCCCAAAGGGAACAGGTCCACCTGGACCGGGAGCAGCAGCAGCAGCTTCACCAAAAGGAGGTGGAAGCATGGCACCTCCAGCCTTGAAGAAGTTGGCGGCAGCCGCCGCTCCAGGACTCTGCTGAAACATGCGCTCCAGCTGCTGCTGGGCGACACCGCCCGGCGACATTTGAGGGTGAAAAGGGGCGTTGTTGGAAGCAGGCGGTGTCAGTCTCAGTGGACTGGCCGTCTGCGGCGGTCGCTGGCTGCTGCTGTTGGGCGAAACAGACGTGGGAAACGGCGGCTGCAGCAGTGGTCGAGACTGCTGCTGCTGTTGTGGCTGTTGTTGAGCCTGTCCACCGGCGAAAAGGGTCCTCAGATTGGCGTTGTTAAAGGCAGACAGTGGTCCACCACTTTCGGCGTTCTGTCCTCCTCCCCCACCGCCTGAGGCAAGAGACATCAGCAGCTTTGACATGGCTGCCGAGTGTTCAGCAGAGGTGGCGGCGGAAGGCGGCCCATTCATTTGCTGTTGCTGCTGTTGTGGCTTTCTGCTAGAAGAGCCGCCGCCGAGCATACTCGCCTCCAGATCGGCCAGGTTAGTCGCCTTCGACATGTCCAGCTTGATGGCAGAGGGTGGTGGGCCTTTGGGCGCCACCGTCATCTTGCGAGCATTCGCCAGCAGGTCCATCACCGAGGAGCTGGCTGAGGAGGTAGAGGAGGACTTGTCTCCTCCACCACCACCACCGATTGTCTTTGAGGAGGCGGCGGCCTCTCCGGAAACCGAGTCCCTCTTCAGGTCCTTCTTGAACCACTTCTCAGCGCGACTCGAGGCGTTCATCAGCCCTGAGGTGTTTCCGCCACCTCCGCTGCCGCCGCCGCCTCCAATATCACCAAATGAAAAGGGCAGCGGAAAGTCCTTGCTCTCGAGAAAGTTCTCATTTCCAGAGAGCATGGCGCTCAGGTCGGCGCTCAGGTCCCGACTGAAGGTGCTGTCAGCGACGTTGGCCGGCGTCGAGGCAGAGGCGGCCGCCAGGGCCCTGCTGTTGTCAAAGAGCTCTGCCGAGCTTCGGCCACTGAATCCGCCGCCGCCATCGACAGATGATTTGCGCGTATTTCGGCGGCTGCTGTTGTTACTGCTGCTGTCGCCGCCGCCCAGATCTTCAGACTGTCGTCGGCGGTCGCCGCTATTGTCCATCGTCTGACACTTCTCGTCGTCGTCAAAGCCCTTCAGGTCGATAAAGTCGTTCATGCTCTCGGGTCCATTGCTGAACCACTCCGGCTCCTCCTCGGCGTAGTTGTCGTGGTGGTGGTTGTGGTAGTGACCACCGCCGCCGCCGTACCCGCCGTCTCGACTGTTGTAGTCGCTGTTGTACTTGTTCCGACCGCCGGTGTTGTTGTTGTAGAATCGGCTGCTGCTGCTGCTGCCGCTGCCGCCGGTGTTGCCGTAAGTATTACCGCTGCGGCTGTTGTACCGCGAGTCGGCAGTGTACTCGCGCTTGCCGTTGTTCACACTGCTCCCGGCGCCCGCGGCGGTGGCATTCTTATCAGTCCTCCACGATTGCACCGATTCAGAGTGGTTGGCGCTTCGGTAGGTGTTCTTCTCGTAGCGCGAATTCATCGGATTCTCTCGGTAGCTGCCGCCGGATTCGAGTCCGCCATCCTGATTGCTACCTCCTCGAACCCTGGGATTGTTGGGGTTGTTGCGTGGATTGCTTCCTCTTTCACCGCCGACGTCTCTGCCGTTGTTGCCGGCGCCACTTGAACTGCTGTTCTTGAAGCGGCCGGGTGGTGGGGGATTGTGCGAAGAGGGTCCGCCGAGATCATCGAAGAAGTCGCCACCTGAGCCGCCGCCTTCTCGCTCTGCAAGGATGCGCTCGTTCTGTTGCAGTATGTAACGCTCCTCGACGGTTTTCTTAACCAGCGAGTTGATGATGTTGTCGCTCAGGTTGGCGCCCTCACTGCAAA